GCCCCTCAGGGTGTTCCCTTTCAGAGAGTGCTCCCCTCAGAGACTGCACCCACTCACAGGGTGCTTCCTCTCAGGGAGTTACCCCCTAAAAAGAGTGTTTCCCCCATGATTTCTCCCTGAGAGACTGTGCCCATTCAGAAAATGCTCCCCTCAAAATGTTCCCCTTCAGAGATTGCTCCTCCCAGAGACTGAACCCACTCAGACAATGCTCCCTTCAGAAAGTGCTTTCCTCAGAGAGTGCTCCCCTCAGAATTCTCCCTCCCAGTGCTCCCCTCTGGGAGTGATTTCCTCAGAGTGTTCCCCTCAGAGAGTATTTCCCGCAGAGTGCTCCCTTCAAAGATTGCATCCCCTCAGAGTGCTCCCTAAGAGAGTGTTCCCATCAGAGAGTTCTCCCCTCAGAGGTTGCACCCACTAAGAGAGTGCTCCCCTTAGAGAATGTAACCCTCAGAGAGTGGTTCCCTCAGAATGTTCCTTGAAAAACTGCTCCCCTCAGGGAGTGGTCTTTCTCAGACAGTGTCAGCCTTAGAGAGTTCTCCCTGTCCCTCACTGGAGTGTCCATTCTTCCTCTGACTCCTTCACTGGCTTCCTGTTCAACATGTGCTGAGACAGTCCGAGTTCAGGACACAGAGACTAGGTTCTAACTGCTCTCTGAACGGTGAGCTAGTCCGGGTGAATTCCACACTAGCACAGAAGCAATTCTCCAGACAAGGCAGAGCGCTGTGAGTGCTTGCTTGTGAGGCAGGAGGTCACCTTGTGGCCTTGATCTCCGTTTATGGCTTTATAAACTTTATACACCATTCTATAACTTTATAGCTGGAACCACACTGGAGGCTGAAAAACAGGCGGACTAGACCGAAAGGGGCCTTAAAACTGACCAAGCCTCACAAGAGTTGATGTAATCACTGGCCACATATTGTGGCTGTGATGACTCTCAGCCACCCTGTGGACGGCAGATCTGAGTCTTGTCCTGTCCTGCACTATTTCTCACCATCTCTGTCCTGCTCAAGCCCATCGCTGCAGTCAGTGCCAACCCAACTTGCTGAGGGTTCTCTTCTTCCGATAACCCTCAGCGTTTCCCAACATGCCCCACGTATGTGACACAGGTTTCACCATCCCTGCTTCCATGGAGCACTCTGGTTGCACTTTGGCAGTCCGTAGGATAATCCGTTCTCTTCTCCAACATCACTATTCTTTTCAGATCTTCCTTATTCACTGTCCAGCTCTCAGATGCATAGGAAGCAACTGAAAATACCACGGCTTGGATCAGGTGCCCTTCATCTGACAGCCTTGCTGCTCAGCACAGTGGAGCGGTCCCTGCCAGCAGATTTTCCCAGTGCAGCATGTCTTTTGCTTTCTTGACAGTGGCAACCATGGGTGTTAATTGTGGATTGTTACACACTAACCTTCTGGGACTCTTTCCTAAAACAAGATGCTTACATAGCATTGGCCAACCAAGTTATTTTTTAACTATCAAGCATATATGTACAGAATCATGTCCTAAACTTTATAAACAAGAATTTTTATAACTTTTCAAGATATACTTGGCATGTATGGCGATGCAATCTAGCATATACTTAATATAACACTAACATAGGAATTGTCTGAAAATGCCATTATTTATCTAATAAAGAAGCTTTCATTTATGTATCACGTGTATTTTATTTCATGTTATCTGTCTCATGAGGCACAAGACCTACAGGACTCTGTACACGTAAAGTTTTCAGACAATGAAAGGATGCAAAATTCCTCATTTATCACACAAAACATGTCCGCTCTGCAACAACGGCTGTTTCTAAATTTGTCTTCCAAGAAAGCAACAAAGGCCGTGTACTAGAACGTTACACTGCTTTACAGAATATTCCTGCATCCCTGTGGGAGGGAACGGAATCGTTTCTTAAAGAAAAAAAAATTAAATATTGAGAAAATTATTATTTGAATGCGTTCTGCTTTCCATACTCCTTCAGAATGGTTTTCTTTTAAACAACTGTTTGGCCATTGTTAAGAAGTGACATTATGGATAGCTAGGATGCACACGCACATACACACATGCATACGTGTCTCTATAATGCACACTTCCTGTTGGGTGGGTGAGTAGCAAGAAGGCCATTCTAGATTCTAAGTGCTTGAGACCTCAAGTGGCCACTCTGGCCCATCCTAGCCCCCCATGGCCCCTCTACCCTGGCCTCCTGGGGCCGGCCCTGGACTATCCTAGCCTCCTGTAGCTCCTCTACTCAGAGTTTCTGTAGCCCCTCCACCCTGGCCTCCAGTGGCCCCTCTACCCTGGCCCCCTGTGGCCAGCCCTGGACCATCCTAGCCTCTTGTTGTCTCTCCACTCTTGCCTCCCATGGCTTCCTGTAACTTCTCCATCCTGTCTTCCCCTGATCCCTCTATTTTGGCCTCCTGTGGCCCCTTCATGCTGCCTCATGTGGCCTGCCCAGCCTGGCCTTACATGGCCTGCCTCTCAAGAGGAACGGGTCTTGCCTAGGTGGACTTGGGGTTTTGGGGAGGAAGGCACTCTCACATCTCGACTAGGACCCAATCTCCACCCTCCTAGGGCCACTCCTGGCCTCCTTGAGGCTGGGCACAGCCCTGGGCATGACCAGAGCTCTCATACATCCCAGCTCTGGAAAAGGGGGTGCAAGGGCCCCTGAGCAGCTGGAGTGGGGCTGCAGCTTGGGAACACACAGGTAGAACACATGTCCATGGCCACACAGCCACTGCTGGCTTCCTGCAGCTGGCTGCAAACACCCGGGCTGCCCAGGTCCTATCATGTCTATGCTATGGCCTGGCTCCCTTGGGGATCCATGTGGGAACTGAAGACATCCTGGTCTTGTTGGTACCCTTCCTTGTCCAGAATCAGCACCCAGCACCCAGCAACTAGGGTGAGGCCCAGGAGCCTCCAGAAAGGGTGCAGTGACAAGGTTTAATCCTCCTCCTTCTCAGCTTGGAGGCCTCTCCTCACACAGCAGGCTCAGGATGGAGTCACAGTGGGTGGACCAGTGCTTCCTGCCCTTGTCTGACTACGAGGGGCCCCAGCACTCCTGAACCCATGAAGCCACCGTCCCTAGGCTCAGGGTGCCGACACATGGGTTTTGGTTTTGAGACACTTAATGTACGTGTGTGTTGGCACCAGCAGAGAGACATGGGGTGACGTGAATGCCAGGAAGTGGAAAGGGAGGGTGCTTCTGTGGCCGCAGCTGCTTCTCTGAAGCAGGGGTGCCCACGTGGCTGACTTGAACTCTTCCTCTTAAATTAGCCTGTAATTAACCTGCACCTAGTGGCCAGGGCCCTGGGCTTCAGGCTGGCCTATCATGTCAGAGGATGGGCGCTGGGGCACCTGGTGGGCCCCTCTGAGGTCAGGCTGTCAGCTGTCACCTTTGGGATGATGCCTGTGTCACTGGCAGATCTGCTCTGTGGGTCTCGGGGTTGCATCATCACAGAAATATCAGTCAAGCCAGTGGAGCCCCTGGGCCCACAGGTGGCCCACAGGAGGACCGAGGAGTCCCGGCATTCCTCCAGTCCTGGTCCCAGAGCCCCTGGGAGGCCTGAGGCCAGGCTGACCTGCAGAGCCAGGGATGATCAGAGCTCCTTACTGCCCCAGGTCAGAGCAGAGACTTACTATCACAGGCCTCCCTCCTTCTATCCCAGGAGGACAGCTCCGTGTCCTCAGCCAGGCCCCAGAGCTCAGTGGACAGGCGGCCTCTGGTCAGCCCCAGGCTGAAGTAGGAGATTGTTTCCACAGGCCTCCTACGTTCCACACCAGGAGGACAGCCCTGTGTCCTTAGCCAGGCCCTAGGACACCAGTGGGCACACAGGCTTTGGTCAGCCGACACTCCCTGTGGGGGTTCCAGCTTGCCAGCCAGTCACCCCCAACTCATCCTGATCCCATACACAGAGCTCTAACCCTTTCAAACTACATGACTCTCATAGTTTGATTCTTAGATCACCAAGCCTTTCTTCCTCACCTATAGACTGAAGCTCTGCCCACACAGACAGACAGATGGACAGAAGCTGGACTCAAGGTGCACAGTAGGGAGCTGCACTCCCATCTGCATGTGGACAGTGAGAAATCCACCCTGGGACCCCATGCCGAAAGCAGGAGGGTAACCCCAGGGGAAGGCGGTAGGACCAGCTCAAATCTGTTCCTGGTACCCGATCTGCACCCACCCACCCTCAAAGCCCTCTCCACAGAGGTCCCAGGAACAGATCCTCTCTCAAGAGGTGGGAGCCCAGCCCCCTAAGAGCGTGTCCAAAGTCAGGAGTTCATGCAGAGTGGTGAGGAGCAGGCCCTCTCCTGACCTGGGCCCCTCCCCAGAAAGGCAGGTCGGGGGTGCACACAGGCTGGGGCACCCACCTCGCCTGAGCCCTGGAACAATGAGGATTGCGGGAGGCCCCAGGCTGGCCTGTCTGTCCTCACACTGATGCCATCTTATCAGGCCTGGCTGTGGGTGGGAGATAAAACCCCAGACACTAGTCTCGTCACCAAGAGCTTATTTTTATTTTATCTCAGAAAAAAACAAAAACAAAACACATTCATTCCAGAAGGAAAGGTGGTTAGATGGGGCCTCCCCACTCTGGGGCAGCACCGCCCACCATCTGTCCCCTGGGGCCCCGGCCACCCAGGGTCCCCACACCCAGGCTCCCATCTTTCCCATCCTCAGCAGCCCTGCTGGTAGGCCGGGAGTGCACTTCCCCCACAGCGTCCCAGTTAGCAGCGGAACCCACCACACTTTGCAGCAGGGTAGGTGATAATAAAATACAAAGAGGTTCCTCAGGCTGACCTCTCCCGGAAAAATGGTCACATGCCACGTCTGGTACACAGCAGTCCCTAAACCCCAACAAGTCTGGGGTGCCATGTGTGGCAAACATCCGGCTGGAACCACTGCAGAGCCAGGCTTCTCAGGAGACCAGGGCCCCTCTGGCCGTCCCATCTCCAACCTGGCTTAGCCCACCAGAAAGACAAGGGCTTCCTCCTCTCTCAAAGGGCCTGCCTGCCGGGGTCAGGACACCCCCGCTTTGTCCTGTCCCGGGGCCACTAGGACGAGAGACTCGGGGTGTGCACCTGGAAGGCCACCATCGCCCTCCCCGTGGGGTGTGGAAACATCCTCTGTGCTCACCAGCCCCAGGGCATAGCCGTTGGGGCGCTGCTCGTGCCGGGAAGCGCTGCCGTTGGCCCAGCTGTGGGAGTGGCCAGTGAGGCGCAGACTGACCTCGCTGTCGCTGCTGTGCGGGGCCCGCGCACTAGGGCCCCCCGCCTTGAAGGGGTCCTGGCGCCGCAGCACGTGGGTGTGGATGATGCGGCGGAAGGTCTGGCGGAACTCGCGGATCCGGTAGGCGTAGATGAAGGGGTTGACCACGGAGTTGGAGTGGGACAGGATGATGGCCAGGTACATGAGCCAGGGCGGCGCGTGGTCCAGCTGCGGGCAGAAGAAGGTGAAGCAGTTGATGACGTGCAGCGGCAGCCAGCACAGCGCGAAGAGCCCCACGATGATGGCCAGCGACTTGGCGGCGTGCACCTCCTTCTGCAGCGTGGAGCGCGTGCGCTCGCCTGGTGCCGGCTGGCTCTCCATCTGCTTCAGCTGCCGCCGCGCCGCCAGGAAGATGCGCAGGTAGATGCCCAGCATGGCCAGCAGCGGCACCAGCACGCAGGCCAGGAAGTTGTAGTAGACCATGTAGTTCATGGGCACCACGTCCTCGAACAGGCAGGTCACCTGGCCCACCGCGCTGCAGCTCTGGTTGCTCGCCTTCTGGCCGCATTTGTTCCAACCGAGCATCGGGGTCAGTCCGATGACGAAGGACAGCACCCAGCACACTGCGATGATGCCCTTGGCCCGTGTGCCGGTCACCAGCCCGTTGTACCTGGGGGGAAAGGGTACCAGCGTCAGGTTGAGCCAGGCGGGCATGACTGGAAAGCCCCGGGTGGTGGTCACTGGCCCTTGGCCTGAGTGTCCGCTTCTGTGGAGTGGTGGGAAGTGGCAGCAATTGGGACATGGATGACTCCTGGGTGGTGTGGGGCAGTCAGGTGTCCTGGTGTTAACCAGTGAGTCACTAGTCTGTTCCCTGTGCTCTTCCGAAGTCTCTGTAGAGAGAGGGGCTCCCAAGTCAGAGAGCCAGGCAGTCACTCAGTGCTGAGGAGGCCTCTCAGGCTGGAGGCAGAGCAGTCACCCACTGCTGCTCAGGCCTTGTGCTCTTTTGTCATCTTTATCATGGGGTCCCCAGGAACCCCCAGGGAGAGGGCCTAGTCCGTGAGATGCTGGGCAGTGTAGGGGTTCCAGGCCGCCAGAATCCAAGAGAACTGAAACAGGGCACTGGGACAGATGGGCTCTGAGAAGACACCTGGATGTGGGCTGGGTCCCCAAGGGCCGTTATTTCTTGAAATCACTCGGGATTTTAGCAACCTGGTGAAACGTGCCAGATGGTGGCCTGAGCACTGGCCCATAGACCACAGAATCATGGATAATTTCAGGATGAGGTTAAAGCCAGGCCTTTCTGGGAGCCGAGGAAGGACTCATTCTGGTAAAGCAGAGGGCCTTCACTGGAGAGACTCCAGCCCCTACAGCTTGCCTGGAGCTCTGAGGATGACACAGGACAGGACAGGACAGGACAGGGCTCAGATCTGTTGTTCACATGCCATACTCAATTCGACAGCACCTGAGAACAACTCGAATTCAGCAACGGCACACAGCAGGAGCCTGTGACCTCTGGTGGCCCCGCTACATTTCCAGCGACTGGTGGAGGGCTGAGGGCTGAACAGAGGACCTTCAGGCCAGGGCATCTCACCTGCCTTTGTCCTGAACTAAGCCGGGTTGGGCCACGGCTGTGCCCACAGGCTGTGCACGTCTGGTTGGGGCAGTTGCCACCTTGGCACCCTGTCAGCGCTCACGTGGACACATCAAGCCAAACCCGTAACCTGTGACACCTGTGAGCTACAGGATTAACGAGGGACTGACTCCATGCCATGCAGCGTGTCTGTCAGCCTGTGGCCCTCTACTCAGCAGCTGTCAGAGGGTGGACAGGCCCCAGGGCTAAGGGGCAGCCTGCCGCCCGATGCAGAGAACCCATGGCCCTGGCATCAGGAGTCCAGGGGGCACTGGCTCTGCTTCCACCAGCTCCACCATATCCCTCATCTATGTTGGGTCTTGAGATGCCTCCAGTCCTGAGGTCTCTGCCCACCAACAGCCCTGGGCCACCACGTTCTCAGCTGTCATCTGCATGTCTGGATTCTGTCCCCAGAGAAGGGACAATTGGGGCAGGCCACCACCCGGGGCATGTGTGGTGGCACAGCCCCAGCCAGCCCTTCCTCCTCTCGGCATTTCCCTCCCTGCTCTCCAGAGCCCAGGTGGGGGCCAACGAGGCAGGTCCTGGGAGCCTGCAGTCAGCGTGGGCAGCAAGCATGCTTCCATCTGGACAGCATCCCACCTCGTAGCCATTCATCATGTCCTGCGGGGCCCAGGTCCTGCTCAAGCCCCACACTTTACCTAGATAGGTGAAAGTGCTCTCTGAGGGCACTGTGGGGTCCACCTGCTCCCCAAGCTGGCTTCTGGGGCCCTCTTCAGGCTGATCTGTTCCCTGGGGAACCTCTAAGGGACTGGTGTCCACCTGCAGCCACCAGGCTGTGGGGCCCTCACACCCACTCCTAGATACTGGTCCCAAAGGCTGTGGGGGAACCACAAGTGTGTACTTTCTGAAGCCCCTGGTAGACTCGCAACAGCTGCCCAGCAGCTTCCTCGCCCACAAACCCTGGGCAGCCCCACAGCACTGGGCTGAAACGTGGGCACATACACTAAATGTAACTTCCCTCCTGGGGTCACAGTGAATGGTGGGGGACTGGCAGCTGGCCCTGTAGTTCTACATCTATAGTCTATAGTTTCTGCCCTGCGGAGGAGACTGCCATGTGTGCTGGGCAGCAGGACACGCGGGGGAAGTGTCCCTCATGCCACCCAGACCACGTCAGGACACCTGCCCATTGGCTTAGTCCCCTCCCAGCACCTGTTCACCCTCTTTTCTGCCGAATCAGCCCCCTCCCGGGACCCATGCCCCTGCCCACGGGTGCTCACCGGAGTGGGATCCGGATGGCAATGTAGCGGTCAATGGCAATGGCCAGGAGGCTGAAGATGGAGCTCTGTGTGAGGACCAGCACGAAGCAGGCAATGAAGAGGCAGCCGTGGCAGGCGGCACAGAAGCCCATGCTGATGGTGATGGCGAATGGGATGGCCAGCACCCCCACTGCAATGTCAGCCGCGGCCAGCGACACCACGAAGTAGTTGGTGACGTTCTGCAAGTTGCTGTTGAGCCACACGGCCCAGCACACCAGCACATTGCCCAAGATGGCCAGCACGGCAATGGCCAGCTCCACAGTCATGTACACCGAGGGGCCTATGTCGGCCATGGCTGGGGGCCGGCCAGCTCAGTGAGGACTCCGGCCGGGCCAGCTCACCATCCATAGCTGCGCTGGGGCCCACGAGCCCGCCAGGCCTCCGGCTCCTCCCCGCAGGGACACCTGCTCACTGCCCAGGCGGAGTGTCCAGAGGCCAGGCCCTCCTGGTGGACCGGGGGCATTTCTGGATCAGGTTCAGCACCTGCAAAGAAAGACCTGTGAGTGCGCTTGCCCAGTGCACCTGGGTAGCACGCCCAGCTTCAGCCCCACCCCCGCTGGAGGCCAGGGGTCAGTCGGAGGGCTCCGCCTGGCGGCTCGCCCCTGGACTGTCTGGCTGGAGCGTCCAGTGCGAGGCCTCCCAGAGGGCCAGATTTGCCGCTGCGCTCTGACTCCCCAAGGCGGCCTCTCAGCCCGTGCGCGGAGCTGCTGCGCGCGTCCTCATTGCCTGGCGCGGATCTAAGATCCCGGAACCTCCTCGACGGCGCTCTGCTGAGCGCGCACCAAGCGAGTCTCTGGGATCCGCTCTCCGCGCCCCCGCGCCTCGCTCTCCGCTCCCAGCAGAGGCACCGCCCCCCGTCCCCCTCCCACAAGCGCTGTTGCGCTGTGCCAGGCGCACACCTGCGGGGCGGGGGGAGCTGGCGAAGGAAGGGTTCCTCTCCCTAGCCTCAGTTTCTCCGCTGATATAGCAAGAGGGTTGCGGCCATGACTTCTGGAGAGGTGTGGCGTGGAGGTGACCCACTTGAAGGTGACTGGCTGTGCGCCCCTACCCGTCACAAGTTAGGAACCCCTTTCCTGCCATTCCCTGCTCCAAAACCACCAAATTCACGAAATTACAGAGCCTGGGAAGTCAAGCGGCTACCTCCTGACCTGCCGCTGGGCTCTTTCCCGATGTAGCTCCGGGTACATCCACAGGACAGCTGGCTGAGAGGAGAGGCCTGTGGCCACCTGTAAATCCTTCCCAAGACTCCATCTCTCACTTTCTAGGGGACTTGCAGCCACGACTACTGTGTGGGGTTGGCTGGCATTGCTGCAACTTCCTGAGTCATGCTCAGAAACAAGGAGCAGGAAGGGTCCCCACCTGGGGAGGGGGAGCAGAGGCCTGCGAGGGAGTCCACTGCACTGCATCTGCATGGCACAGCTCTCTGCCCCTGCAGAGGTCTGACCACCCCCTCTACACCCTCAAGGCTATCTTCCTCAATGTCTTCTGGTAGCAAGGCCCAGGGTCTAGTAGCCAGGGCATGCCTGGGTTTGCAGAGGGGCCTGGGCCTGGCCAGCGCTGAAGGTGTATCCACAGTCCACACCTGCCTGGAGTCTAGACCCACCCCACCAGCTGAGCACCAGGTGACTGTCAGCCCAGAGTCCCCCTGGACAGCAACAGCACCCATCCCAGGGAGAGCAGTGCTGGGCCCCTCCCCTGTGGTCACCACTCTCACCAGCTGGGCTGGAAGGAAGCCTAGCTCCTGTGGCAGGAATGGGATCGGTTGGCATCACATCCCCTTCACAGCCTGGCCCGGCTCCAGGTAACTGGTGCTGTCCAGCTCCTCAGCCTTCCAGGCCTGGGGTAACATGCTGTGTGGGCGGGGTCACGGCCAGCTCACTGGCCTTGGGCCTGTCCCCTAGGACCCTTGCTGGAACGTGGGTGACCTCTCTCCACCTGCTCTCAGGTTGGCCCTGTGTCAGCAGGACCGTGCCCTGTGGGGTCTGCAGGGACTGGTCTTTGGAAGTACCTGTGGGTGGATACCAACTTCTGCCTCTCCGTGAGGTGCTGAGTTTGGGGCCTGCATGCCCAGGGCCTCTGTGAGCACTCTGCTGCAGGTGAGGTCTGGGCCTCCACTGGGACAGGAAGGTCGAGGGCCCAGGGCAATTTCCTCCCAGGTCTGTCAGCTGTGTGGTTAATTAATCTGAGTCATCTGTCAATGGCCGTACTGTCTCCCCAGTATACTCCCTAGGGAGGATGGCAGAGGCCCGCTCACGTGGACCCGTGTACTACCTGCTGGCCTAGTGGTCAGACCTGGCCACTTTAATTAAAACTTCACTTAACCATGGCCCGGACATTCTGGCAGGTTCCCGCAGCTCCCACACAGCTGCCTAGCAAGGCCATCAGTCCACCTGCCCAGATGGCAACTGTGCCTCACATGCCTGCTGCCAGTGGTGCCCAGGTCAGAGGCTGCAGCCACACTGGACTGTTCTCCCCGATGCAAATCGTAGCTCCAGCCAGGACAGTTCCAGGGCAGCCCCAGGAACTCTCTGATACCAGGCCAGCACGAGAGGCCCTTGGGCAGTGGATGGCCAGCAAACTACCCTGAGGTTTAAACTCAGAGGGTGGGACAACGATGTGCCAGACACCACATGCTCAGAGCCCTCACAGGCAGCAGCACCTGTACATGGGCAGTGACACTGGAGGGGTGCTGACAGATGCGTTCTGCTGGCTTTTGGATGCTCCAGGATCCAGAGGAGACAGGAAGGAGCAGCTTCTGTCCACACCAGTGAGGCCCTGGTGACCCGCACACAACAGGCAAGGGCCACAGGCACCCAGGTGAGCCACAGGTGCCCATGTGAGCAACGTGGAGCTGACCCAAGGCTGGTAGCTAGGACCCCTGCTAGAATGTAGTAGTCAGGGGCCTCACCAGTCTGAGAGGAAAGGGACACCTGAGGTGGACAGAAGCACTTGGTGGTTGGCAGCAGATCACAGGTGGCCCCTGGTAAGCTTCTCTTGGACCACCAGGCCCCACTCGACCTGAGAGGGCCATGCTGCCCCTTCCCAGGACCCTTGAGCAGAATAAGGGTAGGGTAAGAGGGAACAGCGTCCATTCCACCTCTGTCTCTCTTAGCTCCATCCTCATACTCTGAAACCCAAGTGCCCATCCATACCCAGGTGGTCATCTGAGCCCCCTGATGGTGGATGGCATGTATTGTGCCAAGGACAATGGGCCTGGGACGTCAGCAGAGGTGGGAGCCACAGCCAGGCAGCGCCAGCCTGTGCTCAGCGCCTCTGGCCCCCCGGTGCCCCCTGCAGCAGAGAGTGGATTACATAAAGGGCCTGGAGGAAAGCCACCCAGAGCAGGGTCACCCCTGCTGGGCTTGAGGACAAGGGTGAAAGGAGAGACAGTAGAAAGTGTGGGGGTGAGAGCACACATTGGCTTGCTCCACCCCAGCCCCAGTGGGGACAAGCGGGCTCTGCTGAGACCCCTTGTCCAGCCCCAGTAGGGACCCATGGTTTCCCAGAATGCTGTTGCTTCCACAATCCAGCTCTGTGCTTCTGCTTGGAAGCCCACTCTGCACCTCAGAAATCGAGCTCCGGCCTCACTGAGCCCACTGCCAGTCCTGTTTCCCATCACCCTCATTACACTGTGTCGCCCAGAGCAGCCCTACTATGGGCACCCCTGCTTCTTGAGGTCCAGACCTCCTGGAGGGGTTGAGACACAGCCCCTGGCCACACCCCTGGCCCAGCGTCAGTCCCTCTCCACTGGTCTCCCTGCCTCCTCTGCAGCAGCCACCCCCTCCCAATAGCATCCCTAGGACTCTGGAGCAGACAAGGTGGACCCCAGAAAGGAACTTGCTGAGGCTTGGCTACTGTGGTGGCCACTGGGCAATCCATCTGAACAGGATTCGTCCAGTCAAACACCTTCCCTCCCCACATAGGTGAGGCTGTGGGATGCCGGCAGCAGCCCGTGTCCACCTACTGTTCCCCTCCCACATGAGCTCTAACCACAGTATACCCTTGTCTTGGCTCTGACTCCCACAAGAGTGATCCTTTCCTTGCCTCCAACATCCCTGGCTTGGCGCAGACCCTGGACAAACTAACATGGCCTGTCCCACCAGGCTGGCCCCCCAGGACCCTGATATCCCATCTTGGTGTGCTCCCCTGGAGAAAATGGGTCTCAGAGGGAGCAGCCTGACGAGGAGGCACCACCAGGAGGCAGACCTGGTGAGTTCACTGGTGCCTGAGGTCAGCCATCCCCCCAGCCCTCATGGAAGGTGGGCCTGGCTGGGCCTGGGACCCAGATTTCACAGGCTGGCATGGGGGCAGCCCCCAGAGGCCAGCCTGCTTCCAGGTACCCCAACGCCCCTCACTGAAGACACACCTGGGCTGCCATCAGCTCAGGACACAAGCTTAGCCAGGGCAGGGCCAGCGCTGGGGGCAGGGGACCCCCAGGGCTAGGCAGAGCAACAGGCAGTGTCGGTGAGCCTCCAAGGAGGGGTTCCTGTAGGGTCTATTTCGGCTCCCTGCCCAGGACACCCAGGCACTGGGGAAGTCTCCAGGGCGGCCAGGGCACGGAAGTGACAGCAGCCTCCCGGAGCCAGGAGCCCTGGGCAGCGGGGGCCATGCCTGCTCTGGGAGCACCTGGACCCAACTATGGGGCGGCCATGACTTGGAGTGCACAGGACAGGCTCGCATCCAGCAGGGGCGCTGGCAGGGGCGCTGAGGGGATGGGAGCTGCCCACGAGGAGAAGGATGGAGGGCCCCAGGGGCAGCGGCCCGCCCCCTCCTCCCATTGCACAGACAAGAAGACTGAGGCCAGCACGCGGGCAGGGGCGCACGGTCTTTTAACGCCCCGGCAGCACCCCCAGCCCCAGGCCTCGCGTTCCCGCC